TGTATTATTGCGAGTTTTAACACATTAACACACACACACACACCACACCAGAGGTTTCATTTGTATTATTGCGAGTTTTAACACATTAACACACACACACACACCACACCAGAGGTTTCCTTTGTATTATCGCGAGTTTTAACACATTAACACACACACACCTCATACCAGAGGTTTCATTTGTATTATTGCGAGTTTTAACACATTAACACACACACACACACCACACCAGAGGTTTCCTTTGTATTATCGCGAGTTTTAACACATTAACACACACACCACACCAGAGGTTTCCTTTGTGTTATCGCGAGTTTTAACACATTAACACACACACACACCACACCAGAGGTTTCATTTGTATTATCGCGAGTTTTTGATACACGCCTCACACCACTTGTTTAATTTGTGTTATTGCGAGTTTTAACACATTAACATATACACACCACACCAGATGTTTTATTTGTATTCTCCCCAGTTTTAACCCACGCGCCTTACACCAGATGTTTTATTTGTATTCTCGCCAGTTTTAACCCACGCGCCTCACACCAGATATTTGTGTGCATTATCGTCAGTTTTAACCCACGCGCCTTATACCAGAATACCGGTGTTACATGCACCACGGTATTTTTTTAATCCACGAAAGTTATATCAAAAATACGGCATCGAACTGGCGCATTTAAGTGTTTTACACTCACAAAAAAAAAAGAAATCTATCTTTCTATGTTTAAACAACTCTATTTATTCAAAAATACAGCAACTGAGCAGCATGGATACAAACAGCGGGCAGTAATTACGAGGCCTGTTGTTATGCCCTGGAAACTCTGCGCACGTTCTAATAAATATTGTGTTCGTTATTTATTGTTTTCCTAACTAGCGACTCCATGGCATGCATTTGTTAGATCCTGTTTGATTAGCAAGTAGATTGGCCTGAAATATGTAACAGCCGCGTGCAAGACTGTAGTAAGGTTTTGAGCATGCATCTGTAATGGCGTCCTGTTTCAGGGTAAACATTACTACTCATTAAAGAAATGAATATAAATCTTTATTTATTTATTAGTGGGCAAACTTGTGCTGTATATGTTATCTCGATGCATGCTGTGTTTAAAATCTAAGTTCAGAAGAAAGAAACAACGCTTTACACTCTTGGCTTAAAAACCAAGTTCAAATGAACAAAACAACGCTTTGCACTCGTGACTGCGGAACTAGGTTCAAACTAGGTACTTCATCAGATTATTTCGACAACATAGATAAATTTCTTTAGTTTTGTGTAGTGTAAATAATGTACGAAGTTTATCCAATTTAACGTTGTAATATGCCGGCTTTCTAAGTGGGTAATTTCGTATCTCGAAATTATCGAAATGTCACTCGTATCATTGTGCCTCAAGTACAGCAGCGATCTGGTCTTTAGTTCTTGAAAGTTTGTACCAACACTACAAAGCGTTGTTTCGTTCTTTTGAACCTAGTTTTCAAGCAAAGGGCGCAAAGCGTTGTTTTGTTTCTTTAAGCCTAGTCTTTATACAACGAGCACAAAGCGTTGTTTAGTTCTTTTGAACCTAGTTTTCAAGCAAAGGGCGCAAAGCGTTGTTTTGTTTCTTTAAGCCTAGTCTTTAAACAACGAGCACAAAGCGTTGTTTAGTTCCTTTGAACCTAGTTTTTGATGTATTGATTAAGATTTGAAAAACTATTAAAACGAGTGACTATCATAAGACGTGTCAGATATTTAAAGTTTAGTTTTCAAAGTTATGTGTATTACTTAACTTAAAAAACAACGTAACAAGTTTAGAGTTTACTCTTATCGCAAAGTGGCGTGCTAACCTAAATTGAATTATAATCCTTGAATATGGTTGTTTGTTTTTAATTAAGCACAAAGCTACACAATGGGCTATCTGTGCTCCGCCCACCACGAGTATTGAAACCCGGTTTCTAGCGTTGTAAGTCCGCAGACATGCCGCTGTGATGCTACGGGGCTATAATCCTTGAAACTGTACTGTTAAACCTAGCGTTAGAATTATTAATTAGTTTGCGGTATGTCGTATTTATTTTTACTACCTGAAAACAGACTTTTAGATAGATTAGTTCACGTTAAACTTTCTGTCGGATCTAAAGTAAAATGATATCAACTTGTCAAGATACACTATAAGCAAGGCATGATCAATTCGATATTAAAACAGATATTTATATTTTCCCTTCCCCAGCCACCGCGAGCCCGAAGACTGGTGGTCCAAGGCCTCTTACGAAAACTGGACTGAGGAAATGGTAGGTCAGCGAGAAATCGCTATCAAATTTGCCAATATTTCAGAGGACTCCGTGTTAGGGATAAGAGCTCCTTACCTAAAACCAGGGGGCAATAGAATGGCGTCTATGATGTACGAGTATGGGTTTGTGTACGACTCTTCATTGGCTGTTCCCATGAGCAACACGCCTGTGTGGCCCTACACACTTGACTTCAAAATCCCCCACAGGTGTATGTCAGACAAATGCCCAACACACTCTTTTCCGGGATTGTGGGAGATACCGATAAATACCATGTTCATGGAAGATGGTACAGGCGGACAGTGCTTCCTGGCTGATCAGTGTGTGCTTCCCAACTTTGAAGAAGACGTTTTTGACTTCCTTATGGAAAACTTCTTACGTCATTACAGGTCCAATAGAGCGCCACTGGGACTTTTTTTTCACGTTAACTGGTTCAACGAGAAAGTTAAAATTAAAGCACTTTATAAGTTCATTGACCACATCCTGGCAACATATCCCGATGCTTGGTTTGTTACCATGCAACAGGCTTTGCTTTGGATGAGAAATCCAGTACCCAACAATCAGTTAACGACCAGTTACGCCCCCTGGGCATGTGAGAAGCGCAAACCCGCCTGCAACATCCCCACTACGTGCGCCTTACCTTTTAACGGTGGGGCAATCAATGACATCCGCTACATGGAGACCTGCATGTCATGCCCCTTCCAGTATCCATGGGTAGGAAACTTTGAAGGGTCCTTCAGGGGCAGGCGAATCATCGATTTGACACCCGAAGAGGAGAAAGATGAAAATAAGAAACGCAGAAAAAAATAGGCTTGTAACGATTATCGCTAAACCTCAACATGTTCATGCCCGCTTCGTGGTTCTCGATCGGGTTTAAATGTGTATTTTTTTCTGTAATTTTTCATGTTCATCAGATTTTTGTAATGATTAATATGATGTTATTAATCTTATGTTGTAATGTCAACCTGGTGATACTAACTCGTAAGGCAACATTTTCCAATAAGAGAAATGTACGTAAATGTTTGTACATGACAGACGTACTATGTACGTTCTTTATGTGGTTATTTCTAATGTTGTGAACTTCTATCGCACGTTGAATATATTCCATTGTTTTTCGTTATTAGTATAGAGTTACGTGGAAAGACCAAAATGTACCAGAAGTTCATGATTTAATATGCTGGTAATTACGTATTATCTCTCTCTTTTTAAGCATGTAAAACGGTACGTCGACCTCTAGTGTCCAGTTTTCCAAATACTTATTACTGAACCAGAAATTATTTTGTCCTGTAAAGCATAATCAACATTAACCATTTCTTAAAAACAAACGTAACGTTAACTAGGCTTTAATTCTACGTTATTTTTAGTGCCAGGGTTATTAACGTTACCGCTAGGCCTTAAGTTTACGTTATCTCTAAGCCTAATTTTTAGGAACAGCATCACTTGTAAGTTGTACTGTTTAACTCTCTCACTGGCACATTTAAATGATGATTTATAGATAAACAACTATTCTAGTGCCAGGTTTATTAACACTAGGCCATAATTCTACGTTATCTCTAAGCCTCTTGTTTAACTCTTTCACTGGCGCATTTATAGATAAATCTTCTAGTGCCACTGCCAGGTTTATTAACGTTAACACGAAGCCATAAGGCTTGATTATACGTTATATGTTAGCCTGTTTTACTTTTAGGAACATTACCACTTGAACTGATTAACTCTTTCACCACCATATTTATAAATAAACAACTCTTCTACTTCTAGTGCCAGGTTTATTAACGTTACCGCTAGGCCTTAAGTTTACGTTATATCTAAGCCTATTTTTAGGAACAGTATCACTTGTAAGTTGTACTGTTTAACTCTCTCACTGGCACATTTAAATGATGATTTATAGATAAACAACTCTTCTAGTGCCAGGTTTATTAACACTAGGCCATAATTCTACGTTATCTCTAAGCCTCTTGTTTAACTCTTTCACTGGCGCATTTATAGATAAATCTTCTAGTGCCACTGCCAGGTTTATTAACGTTAGCACTAGGCCATAAGGCTTGATTATACGTTATATGTTAGCCAGCATATTTATAAATAAACAACTCTGAAACTAGTAAACTTGGAGCTGTTTGAAAGGGATTAACCCTTTCTTTATGGTAGTACAAAATTCCAAACTCGCCTGTGGTTAATATCCATTTCCCAAGCCTGAAACAAAGGTTGGTATGATATCTCCTACATATATGTCCCTAATAGTGAAAGATGTAAACGATATTTTTAAAGTAAACTTTTTACACGTACTTATATTTCATTCATAACTATTAATATCTACAAGTAGCTATAAAGAAACTGTTGTCCTTATACTTGGGCCTATTCTGACTTGTATTACATATATAAGCAGGGTGTATTTGAAAATTTACCGACCAACTCTTCAAATGTTTTTTTATACTATTCTTCAGACTGCTACAAGTAGCCAAGCAACTTGGACTTTTAAAAAATTTAGTGAATGCATTTCAAATTATTCAGTAAGCCAAGACAAGTATTAATGACAGGGTGTAAGTTATTTCAAGGATTTAATTTATGTAATTTAATTTTTAAAAAAAAAGTTACTTACGGTTACTTTTCTATTTTTGTTTTAATACCTTATCAGCACAAAAAATGTACTGTACTTGGATTTAAATTTTTTATTAATTTGAGTTAAATAAATAGATGTTATTTTTGTTTTGATTTTTCCATGTAAAAGTTTATAATTGATATGAATTCGCTGATACGCCATAATAGTTGTTTTTCAAGTAATTGATAATATAACTAGCGCCTAGCCCTAGACCACTAGTATGTCTGTATTATCCCAGCCGCCCTGGTATTGTGCGAAAGGCCTCGTCGTCACTGTATATAACAGATATAGTGTGTGTGTGTGACATTATTACATTATTCTTTGCTTTCACTCGTAAGTTCTTGTGAATATTTGACAAACATTCCTGTCACGTTTTCACTTGACAAACACAGTGGAAAGTGTGTTTGTATCGACTGATAAACTTTTACATATTGTGAAAAACAGGTGCTGTTATTAGTGGGTTAAGGAAATACGTAATGTGTTTTAGACTTTAACAACCTGCTCTAAGCTTACATTAACCAGAAATATAAAACTATTTTAAACTTCATCCTTAAAAAATAGTAAATAATAGTTCACATAAAAAAAGTCTTGTGATTTTAGGCTGTGAATTGTAATCGTCAGCTTATGAAAACTATCTGAAGTATAAGAAATAACGTTTCAATGAGCATAAGTTATTCCAGGATACTGGGTGTTTATTATTTTTAAATTAGCACGAGTTGCATCTTCATTGGTCGCCAGAAATCTACCTCTAACTACGTGTAATTTTGTATTATGCCGTAATTAATTTTGTAGGTGTCTAATATCGCAAGTGATAATAGCCATCAATCACGCGCAGTGTAACACTTATTTTAGAAATGCATTAATTGTGTAAATTAATGTTTAATATTATCAATGCATTATATAAGCAGAATTAGTTTATTACACAACACAACCCTCGTAATATTTACACTCATGCGTAGAAAAGTGGTAGTAAACACGGCCTTATTTTGTGTGTGTATGTGTGACATTTTATCACGGTTTTCTGCCCCACCAATGTAAAATTTACTTCCGGCGCCCCTGCAGTAGTGTACGTACGTTCAGCTTTAGGCAATAGGGCAAGGAAAACCAGTTTTGGTACTTATAATAATATTGGATGCTTTAGGTTGATCGCAGTGAAAATATACTTACATCATCGTAATACCTGGCCAACATGGAACTTGGGGCAAACTATAGGGGGCTAATATTACGTTGTAGTTCTTCAGTTCCTACATCAGGTGGGAGAAGATTAATCAAATTCAACTACCGTGAGGGTTTAATCAAAATAAACATTTGAAAACTGCACTCAACTTTCCCGGCTCAGCTCATAATGTTAACTATATACACTTTAGTCCTTAGTTGTTTTTATTGTTTACTAAAACTACACTCCACTTTCCCGGCTCAGCTCATAATCAACTAAGGACTAAGGTGTGTATTGTTAACTTACGAGCTAAGCCGAGAAAGTGGAGTGTAGTTTTAGTAAACAATAAAAAGCAACTAAGGACTAAGGTGTGTATTGTTAACTTTTTATTGTTTACGAAGTGAAAGAAATTTGAAACTAGAATAAAACACTTGTTCGTGAAACCAAACAGTAAAACCTTCATGTCACTTATATTGTTTTATCCACAACTATTTTGCTATTTCAAAATGGCAATCAAGACTGAACGTAGGAAAAAGGGGGTCCAAACGTTATTTTTAGGGGCCCTTTTGGCATATTTTGTACTTTTCGTATGCTATGCTACTTCGCCCATATTTCTTTTTTTTTCAGAGATCTAAGTGGCGTAAAAAAAAAGAACCAATATACAATATTATTAACAATTATTAGACTCAAATACAATGTCATTCATAGACTTGAAAAGTTTTAACCTATTTATTTTTAAAAATGGATCTATTTTTATGTTTTACTATATCTATTTTCTATTATATTTTTTTTTATTTTCATCCAATTTTTTTTAACTTCTTGGGGGGGGGGGCAACTGCACTGTTTGCCCTGTCATTAATTCTTCCCTGGTGGCAATACCTCTTTTTCTGCCCAAACAGTTTCTTCACTTTTACAAAAAATAAAATAAAGGAGTAAAACAACAACCAAAGAAATGCATCACTTGTTTGTCAAATTTCAAAACGTACAATTACACTAATAACACACACACAAAAAAAATCTAAATTTTAATGCAAGGTAATAATACATTGTGTCACTTTTATAATAACATATTTCTCTCCAAAATTATTTTCATTGTCAAATATAATATTTTATTCTTCCAATCATTAAACATGTCTTGAAGCTTATCTATAAAATATGATTTGGGTATTCCTTGTTTTCGTAACGAACGAGAAATCAGGGAAATGCTGATATTATAGTTTAGAACTAAACTTTTTTAGTTTATTTTTTATTTTCATACTTAACGCTTTCAAAATTTATAGTTTAAACCTTATTTTCGTAATTAACTCTTCCAAACTTATCGGTCAGGCCTTGTTTCCATAGCTAACCCTTTTAAAAATATAGATTAGACGAGAGAATGAGAATTTCTTTTTTCAATTTTGATCTTAAGCCATGAACAAAGAGATGAGTGAATTATAGATGATAGAAAGTCTACACTTTGACTTTGTGTTGCAAAGTTATTTTGAAATAATTACCAATACGTATTTTTACTTTTGATATTAAACAGTTCCAAATATCGACACTAGATGGGGCTAGAAACACTCCATAAAAGGAAGTGCACCTTTATATATATTTTAATAACCAAGCATAGAAATTATTTGAATAGGTGGAAAGAGAATATTAATTTGTTATAATTAGATTACAGAAAAACATGTTAAAACTTTGATTTTCATAACAGAATACATAAACTCTTTAAATTTCTGTTGATGCTATATATATATATTAGTTTTGAATCAAAAAATATTTTCATATAAATATGTATGCTTTAATTAACCATTTCTCATTCATATTTTCTGTTCTGAATCTGATCTTAGCCAGGAATATTTTGCGACTGAATATTATTAATACACTTCTTGTTCTCTAAAATTATTTTAGCTACAACCACAAAAGTGTACTTGTAACCAACAAAGTATTTTCATCTCAAGAATAAAGTTTTTTGTTTTTTTTTTGAATTTCGCTCAAAGCTACACGAGGGCTATTTGCGCTAGCCGTCCCTAATTTACCAGTGTAAGACTAGAG